AATGGGTGAATTCAGGTCGTTGACATTCAGAGTTATTAGCACCATCTGTGGATTCATTGCTGCCATCTTGTACCATTTGTGTTGAGTGTTTTCCTAACTCCCTTCATACAAGTGTGCTGTGTTTATGAGGGAATTTCATTCTTGCCTTCTTTTCCCTCTGAGGAAGTTTTATCTTGGTAGTTGGTTTTGGCATGTTGACTTCTGGATGGAGTTGAGCTATATGGTGTTCTCCTGCTCGTGCTTGGTGGAGGTTGGCCGCAGTGAGTCGGGAAGGATTTTGCACAGGGTTGGTTGTCTTATGATGTGTTCTTTGAGTTTTTCCTTGTCCGGGTAGGCTCTGACTTCACCATCTATCTTAATAGATAGTTTAGCAGGGTAGAGTATTCTAGGTTAGATGCTTTTTTCTTTCAGATTTCAGAAGACGTTACTCCACTTTCTTCTCCTCTTCATGATATCTGCTGATAGATCTGCGCATATTCTTATTTTAGCACCATTGTATGTGATCATCCTTTTTCTCTTGCTGCTCTTAAAATTTTGTCCTTTTCCTCAAAGTTGGATAACTTAACTATTATGTGCATTAGTGAGTTCTTCCTGGGGTTTAATATAATTGGTGTCCTCTCTGTTTCCTGCATGAGTGTCTGGTCCTCATTCATCAAAGTGGGGAACTTTGCTTCCAGAAGTTCTTTTGCTACTTTAGCTGTTGACTCCTTCATTGTGTCTTGTTCTGACAAACTAATTATTCGATTATTGTTTTTCTTCATATCATCTGTCATTGTTCTCAGGTTTTCTTTCAACTCTTTGATTACCATATATACTTATGTATAAGCCCAGTTTTTCAGCACATTTGTTTAATCATTTTACTGGGGGCTTGTACAACAACTCTTATCACAATCCATACATACATCCATTGCCTCAAGCACATTTGTATATATGCTACCATCATCATTTTCAAAGCATTTTCTTTCCACTTAAGCCCTTGGTATCAGCTCCTCACTTTTCCCCCTCCCTTCCCCTCCCTCATGAACCCTTGATGATTTACAAAGTATTATTTCTTCATGTCTTTCATTGTCCAGCGTCTCCCCCCACCCC